TTGACCGACACCCATTTCGCGCATTGTCATTATGAAATGAGAGCTACTACGCTTTTTGCACGAAATAACTCACTAAAATTAATTTTTACGTCAATTGATTATCTGTCTGGAATTAAAGTCAACTATTGCACAGGGTGAATACAGTAATGAAATGAGCGTAGCAGGTATAATAGCTAAAGATGGCGAACCCAATGAATACGTCGTCGGAGAGAAATTTCGAGTTTGCCTTAATACCAAGGTAAGTCCAATGTAGAATTTATGAAAGTGATCATTTGGGAAGACTTAATTAAAGCTGCTTCAGGTCACCTATATCTCGCGTTATTACCGTCATGTGTTCGTGCTCGATCTTAGTCCTTCGACCATAGTCGCGGTAGTCACATTTGTACAATCTCTAGTTCGGTTTCTTTAAGTGTGTTCTGTACTTTCAAGGATGAAGAAAGCAACTGCTGTCTTCACACAAAACTTCTAGAATGCCTCCGACTTAGTTTGGCTTCTGTTGGCAAAAGCGTCAGTACTAGCTTTTTATCTGTCATCTTGTTGATGAAAGCTTTTTTCCCTTTACAGTTTACTATTCCTGGGACGCGACGTACTTTCTGCCCACAGATCTATGTCAGCGTCTGCGTTTTCATTCCTTTTCTTGCTTTTGAGCAGGATCTGGTGAATGCTTCTTTCATTCAGTTGCATAGGCTTTTTCATTTTATAGCTTGCAAAGTACCAGAACTGATATATTCTACTTTTTTAGCAAACTTTTTCCTTCGTTTTCTAAGCAACATATATTCAGGTACTAGTCCAAGGCATGCTACTAACCGAAAGCAGTATCAACATCATTCTTGATACTGTTACGGAGAAGTTTAACAAATTGCTCAATAGTTTGTATGATTACTCAAAAGCTATCCTGCAGAAATGGGGTGGATTGAAACGACGACACAGGGTTAGTTATACAAATAATTGTAAAATTAGTCTTTGGCGATAAGAATAGGTACTGGAATTTCCAAGGTGCTTTCAGAATAAGTTCGATTCTGCATGTGGTGATATTGAATGCATTGGAGAATATGAGACTACACGGACGTTGTCTATCTGTAACGACGGATCACCCAGTAAGGTAGGAATCAAGTCTCTTTTGGTTTGTTCTAGATATAAGTTGTAACCACACCTTATCTGTTAGCTCAGTTGCTATGTATCTTAAGACTCGTATATCCTACATATTGGTGCAGTATCAAAACTCTTTTAGACCGTCACCAGTGCCCCTGCCAAGAGTGCTCCGACACATCCCCGTAACATTATGGATTACGCAAAGGGTGTATGGTAAGTGTTCTATCCCAAAAAGTGCTGTCTTTACCCTTATTCTAAAATGAATAACTTCTGTTTCGTAGGACCGTAAGCAACGCTGCTGAGGACGAGAGCAACACTAGAAATCCACTCTGCGATGGATATATTCATCCAGAATGGGCACTTATTTTCATGCTGCGATTAGGTCTCATCGCAGTACAGATGATGCATGAGAATACGCAGTCCAGTGAGACTCTTTATTAGCTTGTGATCTTTTTGGCTTACTGGCTTGGTATGTTCATTTATTTCAGACATTATTGTGATCACGGATGCTGTATGCGGTATGCCGGACGCACATGCATTGCAGCAGTTGTTGAGTCAATTGAGGAGTTACACCGTGTCGTGTTCTTTCATTCAGGTTAGCAGTTTTGATAGACTTCGTCTACTGAAATTGGAATCAGAGATTCTTAAAATCGCTTTCAATGTCATCGTCTATTCCATAATTTTTTCCCAATATCATTGCTTTTTCTTCTTAGAACCTTCCATATATTACAGCTTCAAGGGAGATCTCGCAGTGAAGCCTGTTTCGGTCATGTGGCTTCATGTGAGCTCTTTCATTTTCTCGCAATGGCCACATTTGGGGCTTACATACCCAACTGTCGATGCTCTATTGGTGTGGACATGAATGACATTAATGAACCGCTGATTTGTTGCGATACCGAGGAAGAAGTGGACGAACAAGAGTTCAAGCCGTTAAATGCTTTCCATAGGTGATTTTTTGATCAATTCAGATCATGCCATACCTCGTTATCAATATGTTTGCTGCAATGATAGGGTTAAAAATCAGTTCATTGAAGTCGGCTTCTGTTTGTTTCTCTTTTTTTTTGGACTGCATAAGGAGTTACAGGGCGCTTCTTTGCTGGTGCTTTCAGAATGCTCTACAAGATAATGTTCACATAACGAATCTTGTGAACGAAATAAATCCAGAGTTCGCACAGCTTTATAAGAAGTAGGACACCTTTTTTATACGCCTATCCTGATTTTCCTGTTTAAATTAGCTCAGCATTTAGCGATGTTGTGAGGCATCGATATATTCGTTCGATCTATCGAAGCGGATTACATGAGATACTCTACATCAGATTAAGAGAAGGATTCACGCTGAGGCAAGGTAAGAATCTGTTTGACTGCTTTTGACTAGAACAGTTTTTCTTTATCTGATGTGCTCTTGGAAAGCTTCTCTGAATTAGATTACAAATCAGAGTTCGTTTCTCCTCACTGACTTGGTAAAATGCTTTCGTTCCTCTCTATCTACTAGCCGTTTCGAGGCTACCTTTCCCATGATTCGAGCAAATTCTGTCTTTTACTTGTAGCGAATGGGAAATGATATGGCAAAGATGCAGTTTACACCATTGAGTTATATAACCTGTCAATTAGATCTCTACGCATGCTTGCTGTTAAATCGAATTAAATGACTTATGCTTACTTTAGTGAAATTGTGCCAAAATGATACCAAAATCACGATAGTTCTTAGTATGCCATTCCGTCCATTGGTTTTCATTGACTACACTATCATCGCAAATTGGCCTTCTGACAAGATGAAGAGGTATGTTTGAAAGATCATTTTACCACTTTTTTGCCAATATGAAGGGCAGAAGAGAGATAGAAGATTTCTTAAGGGAAGATGTAACAATAGATTTGGTCATACAAGCTCCATATCATGAACTCAAAGATCTGCTATCCGAAGGTCAATTTCCCAATGCTGTAAGACAAAAACTTGTTCGTTCTTTACGAAATCTTATTGATGAGTGAGTTGTACGTTTTCATTTCTATTTTTCAATTTGCTTTGGTTTTCAATTTATTCTGAATTTTTGAGTATATTGGAAGCTGACCGTGTCTTACTGCACATCCATGCCTTTAACACGGATCCTGTTTACTATCGCATTCCTATTGGCGTGTCGAATAAGATACCAATTTTTACGGTTGAAGATCGAACTAAGGAGCTGAACGTTTTTCTTGGGTAAGATCGACCCGAGTACATTTCAATTAGTAGTTTTGTTATTCAAACTTTTAGGGTGCAACAAGAAAGCGCAAAGACGTTTGTGGGTTTTTGGAGTTCGTTATGTCAGTTGAGCGAGAAATCTTGGTAGGTGAACCCGGACAGTATTAGTCCTTTGTTCTGCAACCAACTCGCCATTTTTAGGCAGAAATGGGTTCATATGCATGCTGAGCGAATAGTGTTGAAGAGCTCAAATCTGCCGTTCAACATGTTCAAAGCGAAAAATGGCGTTAAAGTATTTTGCTAGAACACTCTATGATCTACATCTTTTCATCTATCAGAAAATGATTCTTTATTTCTATTCTTTTCCGTTCTAAATTGATAGTTATATTGGTCAGTTTTAGATTGACTGTCATGCTGCTGAAGAGAAACTTCATGAAATTTTGCGAGAACAGAGTACGTTCTGCCTTGTGCAGCGCCAGACCTACATCACTTTTGTCTACGAGTAAGCCTTCATCCTTTTCGCTGTACATTTAGTAACATTCTCTCGTTCTCAGGAAGGATAGCGATGTTCCACTGTATTTTTATATGGTGAAGGTGACTCTAGAGCCCCCTACGCTAATTCTGCGCACTGCCTTTTTAGGTGGTATCAGTAGCACGGAACGGAAGAATGTGGGATTCTTCTATGTTTTGAGAATATTTTCTTCAAAAGTTGTTACTAAAATTTAGATAGTGGATGCATTTCGTCGGCGATTGTTGGATCTGCACCTCATTGTCGATGGTAAAGAAGAGGTAATTTCCTCTTAGAAGATGTACACGTAGTAGTCTTTGGCTGTATTTAGAAAGCCTTGTCATTAATTCGAAGACCATTGGAGCGCATCATGATAAGATACAGGTCAATTCCAAAAGATCTACAGACTATTGTCAGAGTCAGAGAGGACGAGTCGATGGAGGATCCAAAGCTTTTAATACTACACAATGCTATAAGCAAGTACCTGGAGTGCAGGTGGGCTTCAGGGCCAGTCAGCTGTTTCCTAATTTTCTATAGCATTTTCCTCACAGCTGCAACTAATTTCTTATTTTTTTCCCAAAACACTGCTTCAATTTTTTTTATTTACTCCAGTGTGTTATGAAGTTTAGACGCCGCATATGGAACTTACCACAACTAAATGTTACGAGTGATCGCACCACCAGAGCTACAGCCGAGTATATACTGAGCGTGCTAATGCAGCGACGGCTCCAAGAGGGTTTTCGTGTAGCTTGGACTCACGAAGGCATCGTCGGCTTTTGTCGACAGGTGATTAACGCTGTTTCCGTGTTTGAGGACTGTAATTGCGCTCCAGATGGGGAGTTGCATAAGAAAGATTGTCCTCATCGCTCTAAGGTCAGTGGCATATATGAATTCGGGTTGAACTGTCTTCCTTAAAAATAATTTATACATTATCAATACATTGCTTCCAGGGGTCATATCCTGTTTCTTTTTTTCCATAGACATCGAATTCCAATCCTTATATGGATCTTGACCATTAAATCTATTAGGTCATCGTCCAATCGGGACCAGCACTGCAGCAGTATGTCATATTTCCGCCTACAAAAGCCTCCGTAGTAGTTCGCGTGGATCGGGAGAGGCTGCCGAGCCTGTCGGAGTGAGTACTCTACATTTCTTGTATCTTCATTTTCTCCAATAGTTTTGCCAGCTGTCTCCTCATTAGATGAGGTACTTGAGGCAATTTATTATCTTCAGAAATATTTCTTAACACTTCCATATTTAATATATGTAATCTGTGGATTTGGTTTACGCCAACTGGTTTCGACCTGAATGCTTTTTACTTCGCAAGAGAACTGTAGTGTTTTTCCTTGAAATGCGCATTTTAGATTCTAGCAGCCAATCATCCTGTGCAACTGCGAGCTAAATAATTAAATTTTAGCAGAGCTAGGATAAGACTACTCTGTCCATTGTTCTACACTTACAAATCTCATTAGTTGTGAAGATTTGAATTTTTGATAACAGCTACTAGCAGTGACTACATGGGTGGCCATGGGCGATTGCAGCCAGCGTGGCGTTTATGCCCGGCTGGTCGCATTTTGGTTCTCTTACCTGCTGATGCGGAGTCGACGTATGCGGTAACTGTACATAAAGAAATCGTTGAATGAGTTAATAGGAAAAAAATCTCTGTGCCAGCACAAAAGAGTTTGTGTGGAGTTGGAAGTTTGGTTCAGAAGATCTGGCGAATTGTTTCCTACTTTTTCGTTAAGTATTCGAATTTTACCGGTAGTGGTGTCGATAAATGCAGAATACATTGAAATGCTCATCGATAAAGCTCGTTTAGGCAGTTTTGCTGACATGCTGTCTATTCAGTAATACTGAACCAAATTCATTTCAAAAATGATATCAATGTTACAGCAGAAGGTTTAAAGGAAATTTAACCACCCTCTTGAAATTTTGGCAGTTCTTTTATAGAGATAAATTTTCATCCCCACGTCCTACCAGCGTTCCCGTTTGTGACATCCATCCGAAAATCAATCAAGGGTATGTCGAATCAGCTGAGTGCAACGCATGCGTTCTGCGTTCTGTTGATATTATTCAATGAAAGGAAAGCTTTGCGTAGAATGATGACGTATAGCGAACATATTCTAGTTGATTTGCGTTATTACAGTGGATGGACCTATCACAGTGGAAGACTGTCGCATTCGCCGACACATTCGTTGTACCGTACATCGCCAAGGTTGCAGCAAGCGCATCAGCTTGCCCTCAGCCAACTGCACAATTATCGGCGCTTATTGTCAGAGTGGGTGAAACAAGAGAAAAGTTTTTGAACAAAAGTCAAGGAAGTAGGTGTTTGCAGAGAAAGATAAGGTGCAAAATGAAATGAAAATCCGCATTTGCGGACTTGTTTGCTTTACTTTCCGACCCCTAGAAATTATCGTACTGATCACCCTTATTGAAACTCTTGAGATTGTTACAACAACCTTCGTCAAAATAAATTATAGAAACATTTTCACAGACAAAAAAAGTATTAATTTTTGAAAATAGGTTTCTTTTTCTATTGCACTGTTGATTTTCTTTAGAGAGAAAGATCGTCAAAGTGATGGGCGACCGTTGGTGCTAATCTCAGAATCATGGTCGGAACCTTGTGCTGTGTGCGAAAGTAAGGTGTTACAGGTATGTGGAGAGATCTTGGTTAGAATGGCTAGGTGACAGTTCTTTTCTGTAAAAGTTGTGGCAGATTTGCGAAGTATGCATATTCTTTTAATTCTGACTCTTGCTCTCCTTTCATTTTCTCCTTATAGCAGTCATTTTGTCGCAACTCTGAATTTGGACTTGAATTTGAAGTGTGCAGTGCTCCTCAGTTGTTGGTGACGTATATGCCAAAGGTGTACAAGCCCCTTCGAAAGCTGCCATATAAGTTCCCTGCAAGTGTAACTTTGTGAAGTGCAACTATACTTGCAACTGTACGAGTCATATACCGCTCATTAGATGCCAAGTTTTTTGATGGCCATTGTTGCCCTGCTGATACACACCTCGATTAATCGTTATCGTGCGATAATATACCGGTTTGTGTCGCATAAAACCATAACACCTCACCAGCGTATCATCCTCATTCGATTGTACATCGATTTGAGTACTTAAATATGCTATTGATGACTGTAGGTGGATCCGTCGGACCGAACATTCATTTGAATTGATCCATAATCAATTTTCACGGGTCTATCATCGAAGGTGGAGAATTCTATTCCAAAAAAGTTGATTTTTGCTCGCTTTTTGGTCGGAAGACAATGTGGGCTTTTCAGAACAAAAGTGGTTTTTTGTGCTCAAAAAAGGTTATCGGTCTGTTCAACGAATTTTTTGGCGGATAAGATGATCATTGATTGTTCTATTCTGAATAGGGATAGAATGGCTTAATGACAGCTGCAGGCACGGCAATAGTTTGAACGTCCCCATCTATTAGCGCAGTAAGCAAATATTACGCTAGGGCTATTACATTGTCGGTACCGTAATCCTATCGAAAACTGCTCGATTTGTTAATGCTTGACAACTAAGCAAGTTTTGCTGATGTCAGCAGAAGCAAACTTTATTGAAAACAGGGACAAAGTTTACTATGGATTTTTCACTGTCACGTGATGGACT